CAAAAAGCTACAAAATGCAAAGACGACGTCCTTCGTAGAGGAATACGGAGCGTCCTATTACTACAGACCTTTATTCCTGTTCTTTTTAAAAGAAAGTCATGGTACAAAGGAGTGCGTGTTGGGACCAAATTCTTTTGTTTTTTTTTTACATGTGTATATCTGTTATGGCGGCCAATGGCAGGTGCCAAGGCCCAGGGTCTGCGTTACAGATGGCCTTCTCCCAGAGCTCCTAATGGTGGAGATGGGCCAGACACCCCAGTGATACCCCGTTTACTTCGCTGTAAACTGTCACCAGGTCATTGCCCTCAGGATTACCTCACCAACAGGGTAGTAGGAACAAAACAGCTGTGGTGTGGAGACTATATACTAGGCAGCAGGCAAACTCCAAGTAAGCCCGTGTCAAGTGCACTTCATATGCTATGTTTTTTTGATTGTGTCCCTGTGTCCAAGTGCACCCCTGTATGTTCAATGTCTCTAAGTGCACCCCTGTATGTTCAATGTCTCTAAGTGCACCCCTGTATGTTCAATGTCTCTAAGTGCACCCCTGTATGTTCAATGTCTCTAAGTGCACCCCTGTATGTTCAATGTCTCTAAGTGCACCCCTGTATGTTCAATGTCTCTAAGTGCACCCCTGTATGTTCAATGTCTCTAAGTGCACCCCTGTATGTTCAATGTCTCTAAGTGCACCCCTGTATGTTCAATGTCTCTAAGTGCACCCCTGTATGTTCCATGTCTCTAAGTGCACCCCTGTATGTTCAATGTCTCTAAGTGCACCCCTGTATGTTCAATGTCTCTAAGTGCACCCCTGTATGTTCCATGTCTCCAAGTGCACCCCTGTATGTTCCATGTCTCTAAGTGCACCCCTGTATGTTCCATGTCTCTAAGTGCACCCCTGTATGTTCCATGTCTCTAAGTGCACCCCTGTATGTTCAATGTCTCTAAGTGCACCCCTGTATGTTCCATGTCTCTAAGTGCACCCCTGTATGTTCCCTGTGTCCAAGTGCACCCCTGTATGTTGAATGTCTCTAAGTGCACCCTTGTATGTTCAATGTCTCTAAGTGCACCCCTGTATGTTCCCTGTGTCCAAGTGCACCCCTGTATGTTGAATGTCTCTAAGTGCACCCCTGTATGTTCCATGTCTCTAAGTGCACCCCTGTATGTTCCATGTCTCCAAGTGCACCCCTGTATGTTCCATGTCTCCAAGTACACCCCTGTATGTTCCATGTCTCCAAGTACACCCCTGTATGTTCCATGTCTCCAAGTGCACCCCTGTATGTTCCATGTCTCTGAGTGCACCCCTGTATGTTCCATGTCTCTAAGGTCACCCCTGTATGTTCCATGTCTCTAAGTGCACCCCTGTATGTTCCATGTCTCTAAGTGCACCCCTGTATGTTCCATGTCTCTAAGTGCACCCCTGTATGTTCCCTGTGTCCAAGTGCACCCCTGTATGTTCCCTGTGTCCAAGTGCACCCCTGTATGTTCAATGTCTCTAAGTGCACCCCTGTATGTTCCATGTCTCTAAGTGCACCTCTGTACGTTCAGTGTCTCTAAGTGTACCTTGTGCACACATCTCCAAGCTTTCCACAATATTTTGAAGGGTCTTTTTGGAAATTTGTGCCCATTTGTAAGGGAAGCTATTGATGATGGATGGCAAAAACCCAAAGGTATTCAGTCGGGTTGAGGTCAGCTTCTAATATTGGATGGGAAAACCTGAATCACATCCCAATTCATCGCAAAGGTGTTCAGTAGGTTTGAGGTCAGGGCTCTGTGCAGGACACTTGAGTTCCTCCCCAGAAAACTGGTCAAACAATGTCTTTTTGAAGTTGTCCCCCCCCCCTCCCCCTTTGTGGCTATAGCATCGTCCACGATTCTGTTTTCCACAAGATTTTGGAGGGTGTCTGTGGGAATCTGTGCCCATTCGGGAGGGCATTCCCATTCATCCCAAAGGTGTTCAGTAGGGTTGAGGTCAGGGGTCTGTACAGGACACTCCACACCAAACTGGTCATCCATATCTTTATGGAGCTGGCTTTGTAGACAGGGGCACAGTCATAGTGGAACAAAAAAGGGTCTTCACCAAACTGTTACAGCAAGGATGGAAGAACACAATCATCTAAAATGTCTTTCAGTTCAGATGTTTCCGGTGATGGGTCCTGGTAATACCACATCATGCAAAGCCATTGTACACAACTGTACACTTCCAACCTTGTGGTACGAGAGCATTTGTGAAGTCAGGTATTGATGTTGGATGAGAAGACCTGGCTCACCATTAGAATTCCAATTCATCTCAAAGGTGTTGGGTATTGTTGTGGTCAGGGCTCTGTGCAGGACTCTTGAGTACCTCCACACCAAACTGGTAAAACCACGCAGCTTTTTTCTTTTTAACTCCTAGGAACTTTTAGGAACCCCTAAAATAATTTTTGAAGGTCGTTTAAAAATACTTCACAATTGTATATGCCACTGGTGGAGGCCGGATATAAAGTCCTCTCCTGATGGCGCTTGGTACCCACAAGACTTGCCAGAATCTACCCTGAAACCTCCCCCATTTGTTACAAACGATGTGGACAAATGGGCACCATGTTCTACATTTGGTAGACTTGCCCCAAAGTTAAACATTTCTGGATAAGAATTTATACCCTGTTCTACTTCTTTCCAATGAACAATATTCCCAAGAATGTATGGATCTTCTAAAGGAGCCTGTAGCCTTTCTCAACCTTTTCCACACAGAAAAACCTCTGAAATAACCTTCCGGTTTGAGGGAACTCCTGCTAAAAATTACTATATCTACAACCCATGATACATTAGAGCGATGGTCAGTGGGAAAAAATGGTCCTTACAGTTGTTGTCATTGGGAAGAATCACCCCCATACAGATACCTAAAAAGATCAATGGTGTCAGTGGACTTATCTGAGAGGTAGAAACTGCTCATTGCTCAAGGAACCCCTAGCAACCTCTGGGGAAACCCTAGGATTCCATGGAACCCTGACTGATAAACCCTGCTCTAAATAACATCCCTAGACCTCCTCAGACACTTATCATGTTTATATTTCTAGCTGTAGAACCACCAGTCACAAAGGCCTGGAAGTCCTCAGTGGACACAAAATCAAAATCAACCGGATTGTGCTCAATGAAAAAAACAGTGAGCATTCTACAAGACAAACAAGCGAGGTTTGAGAAAATCGGATCTCCGTGAACACGCTGTATACAATGCCTCATCTATTCAGCTAATTAGGATACAGATGGAGTGGAAACCTGGCCGGTCTCAAGTATTTCCCTTTCCACCACTTCCCTTTCTACTTTTTCTTTTCCTTTATCTACTTTGAAACAAGATGATTCTTGTACTACCCAATGTATGTCAATAGAACACTGAGACTGAATCAATACCTTGACAAGTGAAACAAATGTGTCTTGAGCTCAGACCAGTCTTTCTCCACCTGGGTTCCGTGGAATCTTAGGGTTCCCCCAGAGGCTGCTAGAGGTTCCTTGATCAATGAGCAACTTCTGACCATCAGATAAGCAACCACTGACACCAATGATCTTTTTAGCGATCCGTAAGGGTAAGGAAGGAGGGGGGAGGGATTCTATCCCAATGACTACAAATGAAAGGAGTTTTCTTTCTCTCAGCCACCAGTGAACTGTAGATATAGTAATTATAAGCAGGGGACCAGAAAGTTATTTCAAGGGTTCCTCCATGTTAAAAAAAAAGCTGTAACAGACTGGCTTAGACAATCATTGTTATTGCATGAGGACATTTTATACATCCCTTTTATATACTTGTTGCCTATTTTACAAAAGGCAATTTACAATTTTGTATCCCTAGAAGTATGAGGTATTCATTGTACTCCATGAAATGGTTTGCAGACAGAAACCTGTGGAACATGCACATGGGGTCACTGATAAGGCAGATCAGCTGGTCTACTTGTACAGGAGCCAGGCCCCATCAATTCAACAGGGGGACCTGGGTGCCTAACGAACAGGAGGGCCAGTGGTCTTATCAACCGATCCACCTGTGGCTCTCCCTGCAGCGCAGACCCGTTCTCCTCTCCCTCTTACCAGCTTTCAGCTGCTGCAGGGGAAACCATATAGGGGATTGCTATCAGCTGCTGCAGGGGAAACCATAGAGGGGATTGCTATCAGCTGCTGCAGGGGAAACCATAGAGGGGATTGCTTTCAGCTGCTGCAGGGGAAACCATAGAGGGGATTGGTTCCAGTATCTGTATCGCCTGACATTCTTAAAACGAAAAATTTTGAACAAAATTGTACTAACGTATGGCCAACCTAAAGCTAAAAACTCCCCTTGCATTTTCACAATGTGGAAGGCAGCATTTAAAGTGAAGTTTAGCCTGAAGCCTGCGAGTAATTCCAGATCATTGAATGACATGAGACCTCCCATACACCCGCGAGGAGCAGACAGGGTGATAAATGGTGCAGGGGCAGTTCCGCAGAAAAGGGGTGAATTCGGTTGTTGGGTGATTTGCATTATGTATACACTGTTGATGTGTACGTCTCACAGGAAGCCAGAATACCACAACAAACAGCCAAAAAGACCTTTGGTGTCATGCAACTTCCTCTGCCAAATGGTATAGGCCCAGGAACTATTCAGGTACCAGCAGGTGTGAGGTCAATCAGCCACAACCTCTGGAGGAACACTGGCTGGTCTATGGAATGTTAGTCTCAACTTTTTTAACCCAGAAGAACCCCTAAAATAATTTCAGGTCTCAGAATACCTTTCCTGAAACCAACTCATTGGAGGACAATGGGACAAAAAGCCAGTCAGTGGGAAGAATGTCCCTTACATTGGTGTCAGTGGGAGGAATAGTGTCCCATCATTGGTGTCAGTGGGAAGAATGTCCCTTACATTGGGGGGTCAGTGGGAAGAATGTCCCTTACATTGGGGGTCAGTGGGAAGAATGTCCCTTACATTGGGGGTCAGTGGGAAGAATGTCCCTTACATTGGGCGTCAGTGGGAAGAATGTCCCTTACATTGGGGGTCAGTGGGAAGAATGTCCCTTACATTGGGGGTCAGTGGGAAGAATGTCCCTTACATTGGTGATCAGTGGGAAGAATGTCCCTTACATTGGGGGTCAGTGGGAAGAATGTCCCTTACATTGGGGGTCAGTGGGAAGAATGCCCCTTACATTGGTGATCAGTGGGAAGAATGTCCCTTACATTGGGGGTCAGTGGGAAGAATGTCCCTTACATTGGGGATCAGTGGGAAGAATGTCCCTTACATTGGAGGTCAGTGGGAAGAATGTCCCTTACATTGGGGGTCAGTGGGAAGAATGTCCCTTACATTGGGGATCAGTGGGAAGAATGTCCCTTACATTGGAGGTCAGTGGGAAGAATGTCCCTTACATTGGTGATCAGTGGGAAGAATGTCCCTTACATTGGGGGTCAGTGGGAAGAATGTCCCTTACATTGGTGATCAGTGGGAAGAATGTCCCCTTACATTGGGGGTCAGTGGGAAGAATGTCCCTTACATTGGGGGTCAGTGGGAAGAATGTCCCTTACATTGGTGATCGGTGGGAAGAATGTCCCTTACATTGGGGGGGGTCGGTGGGAAGAATGTCCCTTACATTGGAGGTCAGTGGGAAGAATGTACCTTACATTGGAGGTCAGTGGGAAGAATGTCCCTTAAATTGGGGGTCAGTGGGAAGAATGTCCCTTACATTGGTGGTCAGTGGGAAGAATGTCCCTTACATTGGGGGTCAGTGGGAAGAATGTCCCTTACATTGGGGGGTCAGTGGGAAGAATGTCCCTTACATTGGTGGTCAGTGGGAAGAATGTCCCTTACATTGGGGGTCAGTGGGAAGAATGTCCCTTACATTGGTGATCAGTGGGAAGAATGTCCCTTACATTGGTGATCAGTGGGAAGAATGTCCCTTACATTGGGGGTCAGTGGGAAGAATGTCCCTTACATTGGTGATCAGTGGGAAGAATGTCCCTTACATTGGTGATCGGTGGGAAGAATGTCCCTTACATTGGGGGGGGGGGTCGGTGGGAAGAATGTCCCTTACATTGGAGGTCAGTGGGAAGAATGTCCCTTACATTGGGGGTCAGTGGGAAGAATGTCCATTACATTGGAGGTCAGTGGGAAGAATGTCCCTTACATTGGTGGTCAGTGGGAAGAATGTCCCTTACATTGGGGGTCAGTGGGAAGAATGTCCCTTACATTGGGGGTCAGTGGGAAGAATGTCCCTTAAATTGGGGGTCAGTGGGAAGAATGTCCCTTACATTGGTGGTCAGTGGGAAGAATGTCCCTTACATTGGGGGTCAGTGGGAAGAATGTCCCTTACATTGGTGATCAGTTGGAAGAATGTCCCTTACATTGGGGGTCAGTGGGAAGAATGTCCCTTACATTGGTGATCAGTTGGAAGAATGTCCCTTACATTGGTGATCAGTTGGAAGAATGTCCCTTACATTGGGGGTCAGTGGGAAGAATGTCCCTTACATTGGTGCTCAGTGGGAAGAATGTCCCTTACATTGGTGGTCAGTGGGAAGAATGTCCCTTACATTGGTGGCTAGTGGAAAGAATGCCTCTTTCATTGGCGGTCAGAATGCCACTCTTACAGACTGCTACAAAGCTGGCTCTGCGAAGTGACATGGCCCTATAAAACATGCAGTCACCATCAGACAGAAAGTCAAACATTCATAGTTCAAGGAACCCCTAGCAACCTTAGGAGGAACCCTTGGGTTCCACAAAACCCTGGTTGAGAAAAGCTGGTTTTACACAAAGTGCTTACAATGTATCTAAAGGACCTTCCATACAGCTGCACAAAGTATACTTCTGAGCAAGAATTGGGAAACCACAGAGCTGATACAATTGGCCAAACCAGTGTTTCTCAACCAGGGCTCCTCCTGAGGTTTTTAGGGGTTCCTTAAACTGTGAACAATGGTGGATGGATCTCCAACCTACAAAGACCACCAATGTCAGGGGACACTTCTATTCTGACTGCTAATGCTTCTCATCACTATGCTTGAAAACAAATGTTGGTTTGATCCCAACAAAGATTCTGAAAACAAAACATTTTGAATACATTCCACCAGTGTAGGGCTTAAAGCTCACGTTTTCACAGTATGGAAGGTAGCATTTAAAGTTCAGTCTGCAGCCTGCGAGCGGTCCCAGATCATTGAACGACACAAGACCTCCCGAACACCCAGGAGGAGCAGACAGAGTGATGAATGGTGTGGGGCCTGTTCCAGCAAGAAAGGGGTTAATTTGGTTGTTGGGTTGTGTGATCTGCATTATTTATACACTGTTGATGTGTACGTCTCACTCACCGAGGCCGAGCCTCATGGCAGCTTTGCCTTTCAAATTACTTGCATCTATCACTCCATCGCTCGTAGGTCAGAGGCACAATACTGACTTAATGACTATGTCCTAGCTGCAGATCTGTCATTCCTCCTGTCTGCACAACAGCCATTTGTCGAGGAAGCCGTCTCCAGTCATGTCACCCCATCTACTTGTGGAACTGGTGACCTGAAAACTTTCCGCGTCTCCTACAGACTCCGCCGCTCAGAACATGGCTCCGTCCTACCACTCGGATAAATATGGAGGCACCAGGAAAAGTTCCGGCCTGAAAGGGACCGTCTTTGTGTCATTTCACCCGGGTTCGGTTCGTTGGGTTTTTTACTGCCGTTTCAGTTTCAAAAATTGTGGAGTGGTGCAAAATTTCTGTATTGCAGGTTTTCCGCATCCACAAACCATAAATTACACTAGAACATGTGATACTAACTGACCCCTAAATCTAATCTGATCTGAACCACAATACTAACCCATAATCCAATCTGAACCTCAATACTAACCCATAATCTGATCTGAACCACAATACTAACCCATAATCTGTTCTGAATCCCACAACTAACCCATAATCTGATCTGAACCTCAATACTAACCCATAATCTGATCTGAATCCCAATACTAACCCATAATCTGATCTGAATCCCACAACTAACCCGTAATACAATCTGAACCCCATAATCTGTTCTGAATCCCACAACTAACCCATAATCCAATCTGAACCTCAATACTAACCCATAATCTGATCTGAACCCCCAATACTAACCCATAATCTGATCTGAACCCCCAATACTAATCCATAATCTGATCTGAACCCCCAATACTAACCCATAATCCAATCTGAACCTCAATAATAATCCGTAATCTCATCTGAATCCCAATACTAACCCATAATCCGATCTGAACGTCCAATACTAATCAATATTCTAAACTGATTCCCCAATACTAACCTACAATATGATCTGAACCCCCAATACTAACCCATAATATGATCTGATCCCCCAATACTAACCTATAATCTGATTTTAACCCCCAATACTAACCCATAATATGATCCGAATCCCAATACTAACCCATAATCCGATCTGAACACCCAATACTAACCCATAATCCGATCTGAACCCCTAATACTAACCTATAATCTGATTTTAACCCCCAATACTAACCTATAATCTGATCTGAACCCCCAATACTAACCTATAATCTGATCTGAATCCCAATACTAACCCATAATCTGATCTGAACCCCCAATACTAACCCATAATCTAATCTGAACCCCCAATACTAACCCATAATCTGATCTGAATCCCAATACTAACCCATAATATGATCTGAACCCCCAATACTAACCCATAATCCAATCTGAACCTCAATAATAATCCGTAATCTCATCTGAATCCCAATACTAACCCATAATCCGATCTGAACGTCCAATACTAATCAATATTGTAAACTGATCCCCCAATACTAACCCATATGATCTGAACCCCCAATACTAACCTATAATCTGATTTTAACCCCCAATACTAACCCATAATATGATCTGAATCCTAATACTAACCCATAATCCGATCTGAATCCCAATACTAACCCATAATCCGATCTGAACCCCCAATACTAACCCATAATATGATCTGAACCCCCAATACTAACCCATAATATGATCTGAACCCCCAATACTAACCCATAATATGATCTGAACCCCCAATACTAACCCATAAGTGGATCTGAACCCCCAATACTAACCCATAATATGATCTGAACCCCCAATACTAACCCATAATATGATCTGAACCCCCAATACTAACCTATAATCTGATTTTAACCCCCCAATACTAACCCATAATATGATCTGAACCCCCAATACTAACCCATAATATCATCTGAACCCCCAATACTAACCCATAATATGATCTGAACCCCCAATACTAACCTATAACCTGATTTTAACCCCCAATACTAACCCATAATCCGATCTGAACCACTAATACTAACCTATAATCTGATCTGAATCCCAATACTAACCCATAATCTGATCTGAACCCCCAATACTAATCCATAATCCAATCTGAACCTCAATAATAATCCGTAATCTCATCTGAATCTCAATACTAACCTATAATCTGATCTGAACGTTCAATATTAATCAATATTCTAATCTGATTCCCCAATACTAACCTACAATTTGATCTGAATCCCAACACTAACCCATAACTTGACCCAAATCCCAATACTAACCCATAATCTGATCTGAACCCCCATTAGTAACCTATAATCTGATTTTAACACCCCATACTTACCTATAAATCTGATCTGAATCCAAATACTAACCTATAATCTGATCTGAACCCCCAGTACTAATCCACCATCTGATCTGAACCCCCAATACTAACCCATAATCCGATCTGAACCCCCAATACTAACCCATAATATGATCTGAACCCCCAATACTAACCCATAATATGATCTGAACCCCCAATACTAACCTATAATCCGATCTGAACCCCCAATACTAACCTATAATCCGATCTGAAACCCAATACTAACCCATAATCCGATCTGAACCCCCAATACTAACCTATAATCCGATCTGAATCCCAATACCCCAACTTACTAACCCATAATCTGATTTGAACCCCCAGTACTAATCCACCATCTGATCTGACCCCCATTAGGGCCCACTCCCATCTTAACATTGGGGTAACACGTCAGCCACAGTCCAGTTTTCCGCTTCCACAGCTATCAGGAGGCCGGGGGCTACTAAACTGCTGTGCGGTAGATTGTGGTATGTGCGCAGGAACACGGCTGCTATGGTGAGAGTCTGCCAGGAGATGGCAGTGTTGGGCACATGTGCAGAAATCCCCCCACCCACATGCACCTCTAGTTTCTGCCAGGTCCTGGATACCCGGAAGACCCCGGAGGCACATATATATGCGCACACGCTGTGAGTTACGGAGTCAATGCAGTCAGAGGCCAAGTTCCACTTTAACCCTGACAGTGTGAGGGCAGCTCCACTGAGGGGAGGATTGTTCCTTTTCCTGGAGTTCAGCTTTCACCCTCAATGGAGCCCTCCTGCACATTACAGTAGCGGGCAACGCATTTCAACTGCAGTGCACCACCATGAGACAGCTCAGTCACCATGGGTGCCTTGATCTGCCAGCTCATTGGATTATGAAGGCTTTCCAAATCTCAGCTTCCAGTGTAACCAGCAGTGGCCCCGGGATCCGGAGTGATGTAGGTTGTCCTGTAGGAGTGGCCCCGGGATCTGGAGTGCTGTAGGTTGTCCTGTATGAGTGGCCCCCGGGATCCAGTGTGATGTAGGTTGTCCTGTATGATTGGCCCCCTGGATCCTGTGTGATGTAGTTTGTCCTGTATGAGTGGCCCCCTGGATCCTGTGTGATGTAGTTTGTCCTGTATGAGTGGCCCCCTGGATCCCGTGTGATGTAGTTTGTCCTGTATGAGTGGCCCCCTGGATCCCGTGTGATGTAGTTTGTCCTGTATGAGTGGCCCCCGGGATCTGGAGTGATGTAGGTTGTGCTGTATGAGTGGCCCTGGGATGTGGAGTACTGTAGGTTGTCCTGTAGGAGTGGCCCCCGAGATCCAGAATGATGTAGGTTGTCCTGTAGGAGTGGCCCTGGGATCCGGAGTGATGTAGGTTGTCCTGTAGGAGTGGCCCCCGAGATCCAGAATGATGTAGGTTGTCCTGTAGGAGTGGCCCTGGGATCCGGTGCGATGTAGGTTGTCCTGTAGGAGTGGCCCTGGGATCCAGTGCGATGTAGGTTGTCCTGTAGGAGTGGCCCTGGGATCCAGTGCGATGTAGGTTGTCCTGTAGGAGTGGCCCCCGAGATCCAGAATGATGTAGGTTGTCCTGTAGGAGTGGCCCCCAAGATCCAGAATAATGTAGGTTGTCCTGTAGGAGTGGCCCTGGGATCCAGAGTGATGTAGGTTGTCCTGTATGAGTGGCCCCCAAGATCCAGAATGATGTAGGTTGTCCTGTAGGAGTGGCCCTGGGATCCGGAGTGATGTAGGTTGTCCTGTATGAGTGGCCCCCAGGATCCAGAGTGATGTAGGTTGTCCTGTAGGAGTGGCTCCCGGGATCTGGTGTGATGTAGTTTTAAAATCATTCCTCTGGCCTCCCCTTTAGTCTTATACAGGTGTACCGGCTCCTCCCCTTCAGTCTTATACAGGTGTACCGGATCCTCTCCTTCAGTCTTGCACAGGTGTACCGGCTCCTCCCCTTCAGTCTTGCACAGGTGTACCGGCTCCTCCCCTTCAGTCTTGCACAGGTGTACCGGCTCCTCCCCTTCAGTCTTGCACAGGTGTACCGTCTCCTCCCCTTCAGTCTTGCACAGGTGTACCGGCTCCTCCCCTTCAGTCTTGCACAGGTGTACCGGCTCCTCCCCTTCAGTCTTGCACAGGTGTACCGTCTCCTCCCCTTCAGTCTTGCACAGGTGTACCGGCTCCTCCCCTTCAGTCTTGCACAGGTGTACCGGCTCCTCCCCTTCAGTCTTGCACAGGTGTATAGGCTCCTCCCCTTCAGTCTTGCACAGGTGTACCGGCTCCTCCCCTTCAGTGTTGCACAGGCGTACCGGCTCCTCCCCTTCAGTCTTGCACAGGCGTACCGTCTCCTCCCCTTCAGTCTTATACAGGTGTACCGGCTCCTCCCCTTCAGTCTTATACAGGTATACCGGATCCTCTCCTTCAGTCTTGCACAGGTGTACCGGCTCCTCCCCTTCAGTCTTGCACAGGTGTACCGGCTCCTCCCCTTCAGTCTTGCACAGGTGTACCGGCTCCTCCCCTTCAGTCTTGCACAGGTGTACCGGCTCCTCCCCTTCAGTCTTGCACAGGTGTACCGTCTCCTCCCCTTCAGTCTTGCACAGGTGTACCGGCTCCTCCCCTTCAGTCTTGCACAGGTGTACCGGCTCCTCCCCTTCAGTCTTGCACAGGTGTATAGGCTCCTCCCCTTCAGTCTTGCACAGGTGTACCGGCTCCTCCCCCCCTTCAGTGTTGCACAGGCGTACCGGCTCCTCCCCTTCAGTCTTGCACAGGCGTACCGGCTCCTCCCCTTCAGTCTTGCACAGGCGTACCGGCTCCTCCCCTTCAGTCTTGCACAGGTATACCGGCTCCTCCCCTTCAGTCTTGCACAGGTGTACCGGCTCCTCCCCTTCAGTCTTGCACAGGTGTACCGGCTCCTCCCCTTCAGTCTTGCACAGGTGTACCGGCTCCTCCCCTTCAGTCTTGCACAGGTGTACCGGCTCCTCCCCCCTTCAGTCTTGCACAGGTGTATAGGCTCCTCCCCTTCAGTCTTGCACAGGTGTATAGGCTCCTCCCCTGGACTGGACGGCTTCCTCTGATGCCAGGGCACACGGGGAGCTTCTCACAAGGTGCATTAGAAGCTGCAAGTCATGTAGAGCTCCGCCTACTTTTCTGGCTGCAGGACATCCAACATCATCCAATGCTTTCTTTCCCTGCCTGACAGTCCCTGGCCCCGCCCCTTTCACTCATTGGATGTCAGTTCTTTGAATAATGAAGGCTCAGCATCATATGTGGGTGTTACCTATGCAAGTACACCCTGCCTAGAAACGCCCACTCCTCCAGACTGACACCCACCCATTAAGGCCTTTTTGATATTTGCTTAACTCCTCCCACTACTTGTATCAGGACTGAGGGCTCTTGTGGGGAGTACTGAGCTTGTGACGTTTTCAGGAAGCTATGTACAGACCCTCCCACCAGCTACGATCTGCCTGAACTGCATAGAGAGGCACAGAGACCCAGTGATCACATCACTGGGTATATATCAAAGTATCTGATGAAAATGGAAACGTTTTATTTAAATATGTTGATGAGGCAGGAGGGGGGAACCAGGGAAGGCTGCAATGAATGAGGTGACTGGAGTGGACTGGGAACTCGGCTGCTTTGTGATAAAAGGGGGTTCGGGGCCCGAAGGGTTAATGAATCCATCATAATAATACGCGAGTCGTCCCCTCTGCCGGGCCCGCGCCCGCTCCCTACCATTCGGCTCCGACATGAAGAATAGGGCAGAGAAGTGATCATTAGTGCCCCCGCGGCTCCCCCCCCTGCTCCAGTCACACTTGTAAATTGAGATTTATGGCGGGGGACGCCAATATTTCAGCGGCGGGAGCGTCTGATCCCAGCGTGCGGCTCCGTCCTCCGCCCGGCGCTCCCATACTTTGTAACAATCGCCCGGAATTATTGCGATGAATAATACACAACGGGCTGGCAGTGAGCGACGGCCGGGTGTCAGGGGCTTCTGTAAACATCTGAATAAGTAATATTTCCTATCCATTTACCGCCAGTCAGGGACAGCGAATGGCGGGAGGCCGCGCAAAGAGCGATTGGACGCAAAAAACAGCTTATTAGGCGGATCGGAGGGGGAAACCCAATCAATTCCACCCTGAGTAGCGGAGGAGGCCGTGCAGCAGATAATCCTGTTTAGGGTGATTACAATGAGTGATGTACAGGAGGGTGTGCAACGAGGACTGTCAGTGCTGCGCCGACATTGCTCTACTTAAAGGGGGACTCCGGGATCAGCAAATATCCTCTAAATACATTCCTGGAATCTCTGAGATCTTTGTGTATTCCTTCCAGATCTGTGCAGGAATCCAGTGTGAGACGTCCTGGGATAAAGACCGCTCACTGCTGACCTCTCTGCTTGTGCAGGGGGACTGGTCTGGTCTCCACCCCTCCTGTAGTTTTCTGTAGTGCGTGGGGCCTACCCACAGCTCTGCTCTCTGCACAGGTGTACCAGCTCCTCCCCTTGTCTTACACAGGTGTACTGGTTCCTCCCCTTCAGTCTTGCACAGGTGTACCGGCTCCACCCCTTCAGTCTTGCACAGGTGTACCGTCTCCTCCCCTTCAGTCTTGCACAGGTGTACCGGCTCCTCCCCTTCAGTCTTGCGCAGGTGTACCGGCTCCTCCCCTCCAGTCTTGCGCATGTGTACCGGCTCCTCCCCTCCAGTCTTGCACAGGTGTACCGGCTCCTCCCCTTCAGTCTTGCGCAGGTGTAGCGGCTCCTCCCCTTCAGTCTTGCGCAGGTGTACCGGCTCCTCCCCTTCAGTCTTGCGCAGGTGTAACGGCTCCTCCCCTTCAGTCTTACACAGGTGTACCGGCTCCTCGCCTTCAGTTCTGCACAGGTGTACCGGCTCCTCCCCCTCCAGTCTTGCACAGGTGTACAGGCTCCTCCCCTTCAGTCTTGCACAGGTGTACCGGCTCCTCCCCTTCAGTCTTGCACAGTTGTACCGGCTCCTCCCCTTCAGTCTTGCGCAAGTGTACCGGCTCCTCCCCTTCAGTCTTGCGCAGGTGTATCGGCTCCTCCCCTCCAGTCTTGCACAGGTGTACCGGCTCCTCCCCTTCAGTCTTGCACAGGTGTATCGGCTCCTCCCCTTCAGTCTTGCACAGGTGTACTGGCTCCGCCCCTTCAGTCTTGCACAGGTGTACTGACTCCTCCCCCCTGGACTGGATGGCTTCCTCTGATGTCACCGCACACTGGGAGCTTCTCACAATGTAAATTAGAATCTGCAGCCAGCCCGATAGAGCTCCGCCCCATTTCCTGAATGGAGAAAGTCCATCAACTTCCAGCTCTTTCCTCCTCCCCAGCCTGACTGGCCCCGCCCCTTTCATTCGCTAGATGTCAGTTCTTTCAATCATAGAGGATCAGCCACTTCTCCAGACTGAACTCCACCCAACGAGGCACTTTGATATTTGCATAACTCCTCCCACTGCTTGCATCAGGACTGAGGGTGCTTCGAGAGAGTGAGGCAGGGTGCTGTGATGTTTTCAGCACCCTGCCAGCCCCTCCCACCAGTCACGGTCTGCCTGCAGTCAATAGAGATGTACAGAGACCCAGTGTTGGGTCTATAATAAGGAGCGTAATGAAAACAGAAAGGTTTTATTTGATTCGATTATCATGTAGATGTCGGGGGGGGGGGGGGAGGAAAAGGATTCAGCTTCACCCCACAGACTATAGTGTGCACCCCTGATGTGATATCTGATCCCCCGCCCACCGGCCTCTTCACATCTGACATTCAATGTGCTGCGTCGACCAGGAAGAACCCTTTAAACAGTAAGAGGAATGATTCCTCCTGCACCCCAGGACCCTCCGTTCGGGGGTGGCGGCCCCCTCCACAGTCAGAGATCAGCTCCAATTAGTGCGCCTCTCAGCAGATCGGCTTCATTACCGCCCCCCCCCCCCCCCCCCACCTCTTCCCAGAGAGCCATCAGCGGGGCCCGGATGATTTTCCTAATTAGCCTCACTTCGCTTATCATTCCCATTTCCTCGGCGTGACGCTCGGTTTACTGACGGACGGCTTCATCGGCGGCTGAGACAATGCGTGGCCCCCCGCGCCCCGGCCTCACTTACCGCTGTCAGCGCGCCCCATTACGGAATGGCGGTTTCATTTACACACTAATTAAACATTACAGCTTCTTCACAATTACAACACGGGGATGACGAGGCAACTAATTGCTGGAGAATGAGCCGACATTTATCTCCCGTATCCGGCGCAATCAGGAATCAGCGCCGCCATTGTACGGAAAGCCGGGGATTCCGGACCCTCCAAACCGACTGAGAGGGGTGAAGCGCCTGGGTCGTCCGCGGCAACCCTGATGGTCTGGACTGGTATTTTATTTTTAGTACTGGTATCGCCCCAAGAAGAGTCGTTTGTGGCTGTTGGGGGGCCACACATTATATTTATTACAGGTACTTACAATTTACATATATATTGTACATTCCCATCAGTCCCCGCCCCCGAGGAGCGCACAATCTAAGGACCCTACCTCACATTCATACATACACAGACTAGGGCCAAGATAGACCAGAGAGAATTCACCATTTCTGCGCAGAAATACGGCTACAGGGGCGGCGCGGGTGCGAGACGTCACGTATATATACATGATTCAGCATTTCTGGGTAGGGGACGTGCGCGAGCCGCACGCACGCCCTGCCCGCGCCACCGATCACCAGGTCCCGAACGGTGATTTCCGAGGATCTCCGACGGGGAGGAGAACTGTTTTATTTACTAATAATCCTCCTCCCTATCGGCTTGGGCACACTGCACAGCACAGCCATCCACAGCAGTGTGAGTACAGTGAAGCGCACAGACCCCCCTAGTAACAGACCCCACCCCCTAGTAAAAACACACAGTGCACAGTTAACCCTTTGATCATCCCTCATGTCAACCCTTTTCTGCCCAGTGCCATTAGTACAGTGTCAGTGACACCAAGTTAGTACCCCCCCCCCCAGCGTCAGAATGTCTGTCGCAGTCCTGCACATGTTATTCCCTTCCTGCCCAGTGCCATTAGTACAGTGTCAGTGACACCAAGTCAGTACCACCCCCCCCCCCCCCCCCCCTCCCCGCCCCACAGCGTCAGAATGTCTGTCACAGTCCTGCACATGTTAACCCCAGCCTGCCCGGTGCCATTAGTACAGTGTCAGTGACACCAAGTCAGTCCCCCCCCCCCCCCACAGCATCAGAATGTCTGTCGCAGTCCCGCACATGTTAACCCCTTCCTGCCCAGTGCCATTAGTACAGTGTCAGTGACACCAAGTCAGTCCCCCCCCCCCCCCCCAGCATCAGAATGTCTGTCGCAGTCCCGCACATGTTAACCCCTTCCTGCCCAGTGCCATTAGTACAGTGTCAGTGACACCAAGTTAGTACCTCCCCCCCCCCCCCCCCCACACAGCGTCAGAATGTCCGTCACAGTCCCGCACATGTTATTCCCTCCCTGCCCAGTGCCATTAGTACAGTGTCAGTGACACCAAGTCAGTCCCCCCCCCCCCCCCCCACAGCATCAGAATGTCTGTCGCAGTCCCGCACATGTTAACCCCTTCCTGCCCAGTGCCATTAGTACAGTGTCAGTGACACCAAGTTAGTACCTCCCCCCCCCCCCCCCCACAGCGTCAGAATGTCCGTCACAGTCCCGCACATGTTATTATTCCCTCCCTGCCCGGTGCCATTAGTACAGTGTCAGGCTTTTTATTAGCACTGATCACTGTATTGGTGTCACTGGGGATGTCAGTGACACCAAGTCAGTCCCCCCCCCCCCCCCAGTGTTAGTATGTTTGCCGCAGTCCCGCTATAAGTCGCTGACCGGCGCCATTACTAGTAAAAATTAAAAGAATAAATAAAAATCCCCGTATCTACACCGCCATTTGTAGACGCTATAACTTTCACGTAAACCGATTAATTTACACGGGATTTTATTTTCAGCGAAGACACGGAGCGGAATACATTTTGCCTGAAATTTGATGAAATTAGATTTTTTACATTTTTTTACTGGACATGTTTTATAGCAAAAAGTAAAAAAATCTTGTTTTTTGTCTCAAAATTGTTGGGACATTTTTTTTTATAGTGCAAAAAATAAAAAAAACGCAGCGGGGATCCAATACCACAGAAAGAAAGCTCAATTCGTGGGGAAAAAAAAGACGTAAATTTAATTTGGGTGGCATGACTGTCAGTTAAAGAGACGCAGCGGCGTAACGCAAGAAAAATGGCCTGGTCAGAAAGGGGGGAGGGGGGATCCTCAGGAGGGCGAGGGGTTAACCTCCCAGCATGTCTTTTTAGTGTGAGAAGAAACCGGAGTACCCGGAGGAAACCCACGCAGGCACAGGGAGAACATGCAAGCTCCAGGCAGGTGATGCCGTGGCTGGGATTCGAACCGACGCCCCGAGTACTGCCAGGTGGAAGTGCGAACCATTTAGTCGCTGTGCTGCCTTTACATAGTTGCCGACATCCCATAATTATACCAAAAAAAGCGAGGAACCCCCTTAAAGGGTATCGGGAACCTTTCTTGTTGCCCTTCAAGTCCCTTACCTAAACACTGGGGGCTCCTCGCATTTTTAGAGCTGATGGTCGGCTCTCTTCTACAAGCAATCCTAGCGGCTAACTAGCTGCTGGATTGCTTATACAATACTCCCCTCCCCCTCCATCTTTGGGCTGTCCCCTCCCTCATCGGGCCGTCCCCTCCCTCATCGGGCCGTCCCCTCCCTCATCGGGCCGTCCCCTCCATCATCGGGCCGTCCCCTCCCTCATCGGGCCGTCCCCTCCCTCATCGGCCTGTCCCCTCCCTCATCGGGCCGTCCCCTCCCTCATCGGCCTGTCCCCTCCCTCATCGGGCCGTCCCCTCCCTCATCGGGCCGTCCCCTCCCTCATCGGGCCGTCCCCTCCCTCATCGGGCCGTCCCCTCCCTCATCGGGCCGTCCCCTCCCTCATCGGGCCGTCCCTTCCCTCATCGGGCCGTCCCCTCCCTCATCGGGCCGTCCCCTCCCTCATCGGGCCGTCCCCTCCCTCATCGGGCCGTCCCTTCCCTCATCGGGCCGTCCCCTCCCTCATCGGGCCGTCCCCTCCCTCATCGGGCCGTCCCTTCCCTCATCGGGCCGTCCCCTCCCTCATCGGGCCGTCCCCTCCCTCATCGGGCCGTCCCCTCCCTCATCGGGCCGTCCCTTCCCTCATCGGGCCGTCCCCTCCCTCATCGGGCCGTCCCTTCCCTCATCGGGCCGTCCCTTCCATCATCGGGCCGTCCCCTCCCTCATCGGGCCGTCCCCTCCCTCATCGGGCCGTCCCCTCCCTCATCGGGCCGTCCCCTCCCTCATCGGGCCGTCCCTTCCATCATCGGGCTGTCCCGTCCCACCAGCTGATCATAGAGACAAAGACCGGAATTGCTCCATTCGTCTCTATGACATAGGGAACTGGAAGCAATGACCATCCCCCCCCCCCCCCCTTCGGGTTCCGGCGGCTACACGTGGCGCCATTTCTAAAAATGAAAAGCAAATTCTCACAACGATCTTGGAGCGGTCAACCGCAGGGTTTTACCACCCCCCTCAACTGCTACTGTGAACAAATTATAAAGGGGGTCGGGGTTAAAAACACGGCTCAGCTGCAGGGTTTTACCACCCCAACTACTACTGTGAACAAATTATAAAAGGGGGCGGGGTTTAAAAACATGGCTCAACCGCAGGGTTTTACCACCTCCTAAACTGCTATTGTGAACAACTTCTAAAGGGGGGCGGGGTTACAAACATGCCTCAACTGCAGAGTTTTACCCCGCCCCCCTTTAGAATTTGTTCACACTAGCAGTTGAGGGGGGTGGTAAAAGGCTGTGGTTGAG